TCTCTCTCTCTCTCTCTCTCTCTCTCTCTCTCTCTCTCTCTCTCTCTCTCTGTTTTTCCTTTTTTCTGTCTTCTGCTCATTGGGGGACAGGTATATAATACTATATATAGTATATACTGGTGGTTTAAACCACAAGTCTCACACGAGTTTCATGGGGGACAGCTATATATACTGTGCCAGTCTTTACCCTTAGCAAGCTGGGATGGGGTAGAGAGGGATAGGAGCAGCAGCAGCTAAAAGATGCAAACAGCAAGAAGGAATCTTTCGCAGGGCGGTAGGCCAGCATGGTCTTATTTTTGCATCAGGTGTTCCCCTCGGGACTGAAGAGGCTGGCCACAGCCCCGGATATTCTGCATTCTGTTCCCTAACAACAACCACAAAAAAAACAAAAAAAAAACGTGGTTGACCATGTACTAATTGGCATGTAGGGTTTCTCTGAACAAGTACCTCACCACCCTCCTGTGCACCTGATGTGCTTGTATAACTCAGCATGCTCAACGTCGGTTCATGAGATCGATCCCGAAGAGCACGATCATCTTCATCACTGTCAACGCTGTGCTCGTCATATGGCAAACCTGTGTCTGTCTGAAAGCACATGTCATTCCACAAGAGAGAGAGAGAGAGAGAGAGAGAGAGAGAGAGAGAGAGAGAGAGAGAGAGAGAGAGAGAGAGAGAGAGAGAGAGAGAGAGAGTTAATTCAGTTTAATTTAGTTAATCAGGCAGCGAGCAAAATATTTGTAGAAGTGATAACAGACCAGGCAGAAGAAGAGGAGAATAGACAATGTGCCAACCTTCTTGCCCCGAAGACAACGTACGGTCATTAAATCAGTATTTAGACTGAAGGATACCCCAAATACAGCTATAATGACCGTACGTTGTATTGGGGGGAAGAAGGTAGGCTACCAATGGGGCCGCCCGGGTCACCCTTGTTTTCCCGGCTGGCCCGGCCATGCAAGGACCAGGGAAGGTCCCAGCAAAAAAAAAAAAAAAACAAAAAAAAAAACTACGTTATGCAGAAAAATAAACTCAACAACTTTTGCCCCAGGGTCACATCGAAATTCTTTACCGAATTTTAAATTAAAAATGAAATTGAAAAGTCATTTGTTTTATTTTTCTTTTTTTGTATCTGTTCTTGGCCCGGCCGGGCAAGTGGTCCCGGGCCACTCTGGTAGCCTAGCAATGTGCAATAAAGGGGGCGGGAAGAAAAACACAGATGGGCAAAGATGAGAGAAATTGTAGAAAGAGGACTCAGATTACACATCAGACTCCATTTCCGCATCCTCTTCCTTGAGCTGCTTGACACAAGTCCTTCACATTTCATCTCTGCACCGCCATTATTCTTTCTGTGGCACCATGTGCAAACACCCCTACCCTCTAGCACTCTTTTTTTTTTTTTTTTTTTTTCTAGCACTCAATTTGTAAGGTCGCTTTCTGGAAGAAGAAGAGGAGACGAGGAGGAAGCCAAGGAGCAGCAGCAGGAGAAGGAGCACAAGGAAGACAACGACAATACGACAATGAGAAAGGGGAAAGAAATGCGGTCTGGTCACTGTTGTGGAGTAAATATTCAAATTCTGATGGAATCAGACGAGTTAAAAGTAACTCTGAGTTTTAAGATAAGTAACCCAAAAAAAAAAAAAAAAAAAAAAAAAAAAAAGAAAGGAATATCATAAACCATGTGCAAACACCACTACCCTATTGCGCTCAGTTTCTGAGACCACTCTCTGAAGGAAGGCGCGATGAGGAGGAGGAAGGCGAGGAGGAACAGGAGAAGTAGGAGGAGGAGGAGGGCAAGGAGGAGCAGGAGCAGGAGCAGAACTAGGAGGGGGAGGAGGAGGAGGAAGACGACAACAACGACGATGATTAGGGGGATAAAAAATGTGGCTTGATCATTCACAGTACAATATCATGACGATGGAGAGAGAGTGTGCCACAGGTCTAGCAGTGAATCTGTCACAGAATTCTGGCACTATTCTGACAAGTTGCTTATTAGAAGAAAAAAAACAAGCAGATCAGACAAACATGAGCTTAAATTTTATGTAATGAAATGTGTTCACTTTTATTCCCCCCGGCTGGGCGCGCCTGGGCTGCTCATTTGTGTCCCTGGCCACCCCAAATTTTTGGGGGCTTGTTGGAAGGTCCGGACAGCACCGGATCCCAATGACTCGTTGTGTTGAAAGATTAAAAGGATGGGGCGGAAAAAGAAGAAAGCAATAGATAGCTGTTTCCCATGGCCTTCTCCCCTGCCTCTGACATCAGGGAAGCAGCAGAAGCTTGGGATAGATGAAAATAAAACGAGATCAATACAAACTTTGCTTCTTTTTTTGTTTCCATTCTCATCATTCTGCCAAAATGCCCTCCCCTGGCTCCCCGTGTTTTGCCAGAATGGCCGGGTTCTTGCAGTTGTCTCAGTCAGCATCTCCTTCTCTATCCTAGCCCTGGCTGGTGGAACCACGTGCCGCTGATCTTCTGAGAGTGTCTCAAGTAGGCTACCTAATACCTATCCATATATGCTATTTTGACATCGTATCTGTTTTCAAGTTTGAAATTTGAACAATTGTGACAGGTAAGGAAGAGGAGGAGGAGGGGGAAGAGGACAAGCTGGAGGAGGAGGAGGAGAAGAAGCTAGGAGAGGAGGAGGAGGAGGAGGAGGAAGAGGAGGAGGAAGAGGAGAACAATGAGGAGGAAATGGAGGAAGGGGAGGAGGAGAAGAAGAAGAAGAAGAAGAAGAAGAAGAAGAAGAAGAAGAAGAAGAAGAAGAAGAAGAAGAAGAAGAGGAGGAGGAGGAGGACGGGAATCTCAGGAGATCACAGCAAAATCAAGGGGAAAGTCAGAATCACAGCAAATCGGAGGAGGAGGAGGAGGAGGAGGAGAACGAAGAGGAGGAAATGGAGGAAGGGAAGAAGAAGAAGAAGAAGAAGAAGAGGAGGAGGAGGAGGAGGAGGAGGAGGAGGAGGAGGATCTCAGGAGATCACAGCAAAATCAAGGGGAAACTCAGGAGATCACAGCAAATCAATTGTTTGCAGAGCTCATTGATAATAGAAAAGGAGGATGCGAGGGAAAATCAATGCACTTGATCTATTGTAAAACCAAGAGCTTTGTCAGTAAAGGTGATCAAACCAATTTGCAAGGAAAAATTCGCCAGTTTGTAAACAGGAAAACCAACGAATAGTACACCAATCAAGACGAGTCAATTGTACAGAATCACTGAGTCCTGGAAAGAATACAAGAATATGACACACGAGCAATATGCACGAGCAATATACACGAGCAAAACAAGTGTGAGGTATCGCCAAAGTTGCTGCATGGCAAGTGAATCTCCATGATGAGCTGCTCTATGCGGCCCCGATAGGTGAGCTCAGTGCTTTTCGGCCGTCACCTACACGGCCTCTTCATGAGCTTTGCTCAATTTGTGCAGAGAGGAGCAAATAATATAATACCGCCCAAGTAGCCTTCAACCATACTTGCTGTGCGCTGCAGCCAAATTGCAGAGTGAGGAAGGTCAACGACGGAGGGGTGAAAATTGACATAGACAGAGGCGGGGGAGGAGTCGTGGAAAACTGGGATAGTGTTGTGTAGGAGGGAGAGGGGGAGGAGGGGGAAGTGGGGAGGAGAAGGGAATCTAAGAGGGTGTAGATCTTGAGGTGCGAAGAAGAAGAAGAAGAAAGAGGAGGCGGCGGCGGCAGAGGGTACGGCTCGGAAACACTCGGACAAAAGAAAATTGCGGGTGGGGGAGGTGGTAGGTGGGAGAGGGGGGGAGAGGGGGAGTTGAGGATGGTGTATAAAAGTGGGAGACGATGCAGGAGAAGGATGGGATTGGCGGAAGTGATGAAGCCTGGAAACAACGTGGATGCTGTATCTCTCAGAAACAATGATTTGACGAAGATGTCAGAGAAGAGGGCCGATAGATAGCAGTGGCATCCTGCTCATCAGGTGATACCGCAGCAAATAGCAAACTCACATGCTGTCAGCGTAGCGATCCAGACCTTGAGTATCGACATGTCCAGGGATACGACAGAGAATAGCTTAGACCGCCTGGGTGCCAGGAGTCTGCGAAGTTATTCTTGAAAAGGCGGTGGTGGGTGAGGGCCAGTATCTAGACGACAAGGCCAGAAACATCTTAAACCACCAGTACTTTTCACAGCCAAATTTCTCCGCCGCGGCATACCATGCGCCACGTCCTTCGGGATGTACCGGCCTGCCAAGCGAACGTTATTATTCATCCAGGAAAAACGAGGCTGTGCACGCAATGGTTTTGCCGGGATATACTTTCCGCCATGCGGCCAGCTGCTGCATCCTGAATGACGGGGTGTGTGCACAGCCGTGTCTCAGATATTTGCCCATGAAAAGCATTGGTCGTTTAAGGGCCATTGTTAGGTAAAAGAAACTCATCCTTGCGTGATTGCGAATGTCAAAATAAGGATTTCTCAATTTCGTCAATCTGAAGAGGCTGTTTCAGCATATTTTTGACATCGGACCCCTAGAAAATTAGTAGAAGTACTAGAAACAGCTTACTGGTAATACTGCCTACATGTTACCCGTAACATCGGACTTTGCCTGTAAGGCTGTAACATATTGTTAGAGAATACTTCAGGCCTTACACATCACAGAGGAAACCGGTCAAGTGATTCCACTTTCCTCCTAGCATATCTTTTTTTTTTTTTTTTTTTTTCCCTTTTCTTTTGGGTGATCTTGAAGTCAAAAGCCTGGTCTGAGCAGGGCATCAACTCAAAAGCAATAGGGCATTTTCAGATAGGGTGCCCCCTGACTGATTTCCCAGACATGTTCCCCCCCTCAGAACTGGGAGTTTGGCATTAGCGGATGTGCAATGGTATGGCATAGGAGAGGCGGACACATAAAGCTATACTCTTGCTCTCTACACAGAGGGCAGTAATAGGAGGGGTAGTTTTGCCGGATTTTCAATCAGATAGCCTTGATTCAGGCTGCAGAGGCAGTGCCCGCCCCCATCAGTTCAGAGTATTGCCATTACTCCTCTGGACACCCAGAGTAATCTCCAATGCTGCAATACTTACCACAGTTAAACCACACAGTAACTCGCCCAGCCATTTTTTACCGGCGTGGCCGTGAACGCGCCACAAGTTTCGCAAGTTTTGCAGGTTGGCCTACCGGGGCGAAAAGGCTGGCGACACCAGCCAAAAGGAGGCCCGTGCCGGTTCTTTTCTTTGGGTCCACACGATGTTTCCAGGCCCGGCAAAGGGAACGTCAAAGGTACTGGTGGTTTTCTCTCCAGTACCAGCGCTGACGTATGGGACGCTGGACTCGCTGTCCCATAGGTGCTGGTCCCCACAAATAGACGGAGTCATCGACCACAGGGTCGTGCTAGCAGAGGTTGATCACAGCACACCTGCTAGCACCGCAGGTAGGAAAAAAAAGGGCGATTTCTCGCTCCAGGGCATTTTTTCCGTGCAGGCCTTTTCTTTTCCTCTCAGTAGAGCATTTTTTTGTCACGGCAGGGCGTTTTCTCACTATTCTTCTTCCTTTCCTAACTTTGCCTGTACCTACTCACAAGCTCGAAAGAGTCTCGCCCGGCAGAGAAAAAAAATAAAGAAACTTGTACAGGGAAAGTGCCCAGCTTTTGAAAAATCAGGACAGCGCGCACAAAAAATCTGAAACCACTTCCCAGGGCACAGTTCCACTGGCAAAGAGGATTGGATGAATATGGACCTGTCTGTGAGCAGGTGCACGGACAGAAAATCTGACACCGCCTCCCAGGGTGTGGTTCCACTGGCAAAGAGGATTGGATGAATATGGACTTGTCTATGAACAAGTGCAGAAATTGCAACTGATATGCTTTCCTGCATCTCTGCATAAAACACATCCAGATTCGGGCGCTCAATCCGATCCTCTTTGCTACTGGGGATCTGATGGGATTCTATGCCTGTGGCAGACATGTGACGCCCCCCCCCCAAAAAAATAAAAATGCATTCAAAACCTCGCAAAGAACGTGGCAAAACAAAAACACGGACATTTTTTTTTTCTCTCTCTTCTTGTAAATTTGTAAAATGCCATCCTCGGTCATCAATCTTGGACCTTCAGGGTTCATGATAGGCTCCTGCTAACTTCCTTGCAAGGGTCCCCTTTCTTAGGCGGACATCACTTTTTTTTATAGCAAAAACTGAGCTCATTTGATTACGCACCCCAAAACAGAGAGGGGCCAGGAATCCTCAACAAACAACCCGGAGAAACTGAAAAAGTGTTTTACTGAGGTCTATGCCCAGCTCAGGTGAAAAAGGTGTTGGAGTGAAATCCAGAGACAGAAATGACCAAGACCAGACCGCTATCCTGATGCCTGTCGACCCACAATGGCCATGAACTGGTGGCTTAAAATAAAAAGCGCCACTGCCGGTAGAGCACAGCGACAGGGAATAGAAGAAAAAAGATCGACGGTGAAAAAAGAAAAAGAAAAATGGCGCTGCGTTAGCGCTGCGGTAACGCAGCGCTACCGTGCCCCTGTGACTGCGGCTAAGTGTTGGGGTCTCGCATTAGGGTTGACATCACCAGTCAACTCCTGCTGCTAAAACCTGACATCGGCGAGGCTATGGCGTTGCCTAGAGGGGCGCCTGTCTCTTATACACATCTAGATGTGTATAAGAGACAGGTGTTGGGGTCTCGCATTAGGGTTGACATCACCAGTCAACTCCTGCTGCTAAAACCTGACATCGGCGAGGCTATGGCGTTGCCTAGAGGGGCGCGGGGGCGCTAGTGGGAGCACGCTGCGGGGACTTTGATCGCTCTCTGGCCATCGCTGGTTCCGGTTGACCTGTTTGGTCAACAATCCGCAACTTGAGGAGGGCAGTGTGGTCGATGTGAGGATGATTGCGTGGGGGAATTTAGGCGCGGTACCATACCTTTTGTAACCGTAGCTACACCGGACCGGACACCGGACCGAATCCGGACCCCGGACCCCCCACCTCCCGGGCCCTTCCGCACTTCCAGGAAACCCGAATATTCCGGAATATCCGGACCGATCCGGATCCCCTGTCCGGATTCCGGTCCGGATCCCCTATATTGCAATGAACCCAGATCGTGAAGACACTTGTCAACAATGCAAGTCCAGATGAATGTCAACCCGCTAATGATTATCAATAATCAGAATCTTGTCCAGATAGAATGAGATGGGATAATCATACACAGACGAAGGAGAGAGGAGGGAGATTAGACAAAGGAGAGGAATAAAAACAAGGCCCACTCCTGCTTCGGGCTCCCTCCTCGATCACCACCTCAGATAATCAATACTCTGAACACACATCTAAAGTTCTATTCCAGTGTGCCACGTGGCACGTCGATCAGACCCTCATCAGCGTACTGGAGCAATGTCGACCTCCAGACAACCAGGTACGTGTCCACAATCATCCCACAGTCATGATCTCCTCCCGAGTGACGATGAATCAGAACAGCAGTGCCGGTCACGTACCCCAGCCATGTCAGAACACAGAACATGTGGCAGCGGCCACATCAGCAGCAACGCGTGGCAGCTGTCACGTCAGCATGCCTTGAAGACAATAGCCAGCCAGCCACCATGCCGAGCCAGCAGTGCATCGCCGTGATCTCCCAAGTGCCAGCACAAAGCTAGCGTCCACCAGCGTCGCAGCGTCGAGCCAGCATCACGTCGTCAACGCGTGAAGTCAGCATTGACGCAAGACTGAATGAATGTCAAAGTCAGGAAGTCAGTGCTTATGTAGCGTTGACGCGGGGTCTGGACCCCGGATGCTGCATCTCAATGCAAAAATCGGCCCAGATTGGCCTGAAACCGAATTCCTTCTGGCCTCGATGCTGTCCGGGTACCTGCGCACAACAAGTGAGTGTATCCGACCAAGGGCCTGGGTGGGGTACCTTTGGGGGGAGAGCTCCATCTATTGGTGGGGAGCGACACCTGCTGGAAAACGGGTCCAGCGTCCCTTACATGGCAGCATTCTTAGACTTTTGATTTTCCCACAGGCAGTGTGTGGTCACACTGCCCGGCGCAGGCCGAGTTTGGCCTGCGTCGTCTGGGCTCCGTTTCTAGGGCCCAGACTGCTGCAGAACACGGCTTACTGCAATATTGTCCGGAGGGAAAAAAAGATTAAAAAACAAAAAACAAAAAAAAACACAGCTGTACTCCT